TAGTTTATAAACTATGACATTTATAAATGAATGAATCATGTGGTGAAAAACTGATTGAAAAATAAATCTGTTCTTTTTTTCTTATAAAAGGTTAAATAAAACAAAAATATTGGTGGTAATTTTTGACTGTGTAACTTTACAAACAGCACCTCATATCACTGCAGCAACAAACTGCAGTGATTTATTTGTTTTGTTTGTTTTTTGTTTCAGACTCTGGAAGACTTTCTGACCAACCTGGAAACGTGTGCTGAGGTCTGTGGCTTCATGCTGAAGAAAGGAGACAAAAAAAGGGACCGGTCAGTGAAACACAGTTTATGTTCTGTGTTGGGATGAAACCATTAAAACCCTGAATCATTCAGTTCTGCTGACTTGACATACTTGAAAATGCTTGAATTTTAACAGAGTCTTTTMARRGTTTGGAAAGTGCTTGATTTCTGTATAAAGTGCTTGATATTCTAACTGCACAGAYCTGTGCTGGATCYCSAGCGTAATGTAGCTGCGTAATCGTGTCTGCCCAGAGATTTAAAAACATTTCTCTGGACCTGTCGAGGCGCAGCTGTCACTTTAAACACACTACAGGCCTACCAGCCAATCAGAAACAGGGTGGAGGCGGGACTTGTGAAGAAGTTTCAGCGGTGCTCAAATTAAAATAATTTATTTGTTAGAACAAGTTTGAAAAAGAACTGGAAACGTTATTGAAGCTGTTAGATTTTTTAAAAACAGCTGCCAGAGAAGATAAATCTGCAGAAGAAGGTTTTCTGATTCCTCCACCTGAGAGACGACTCGCAACCGTGCAGGTGAATGCTAAAKTTAGCTAAAGTTAGCTAGACAGGAGCAGACAGGAGGAGTGGAGGAGAAGAGAGAGGGTTAGTGTGCAGCCTGTCATGGTAAAATTAGCTGTTTATGTTGCTTTACTTCTTGGAATTATATATATATAATTATTCTTATATAATATTAACATTAAGAGGTATATTAGTTTGAACAAAACTGTAGCAAAGGTATAGCTTTGTTTAACTTTGAATTTTTTTTCTCCAAAACCCTCACAGTCAGTTTTAGTTTATCATAAACATAAAATATTTTTAGCCCTATACCTTATAATAATAGCATTAAAATCAGGTCATTGAGGATTTTATTAAGCTTAATTTTTCACATTTAAAACCGGACTTTAAAGAAAATGTAATTTAATAATCAAAAATAAAATATAAATTAGTTTTCACACATTCTGTTGATTTTGTTTGCCTAGTTTTTTTTAATGTTGAAGTATTTTTAATCATAACCTTCATAATGTGCACGATGATGCTCAGTGACAAAGGTGGACGCTGTAAGGTAGATTTGTTATAAGCAGAGTTTATTTATACAGAGCCTTTCATAAATATAAAATCACAAAGTACTTCACAATAAAAGCAAGATCAAATTTTAAAAGCATTACATTCATACAATAGTACAAGTACAAACAGGGCAGAATACAAAAATATAAATAAAACTTCTGACAGCTAAAAGCCTGTTTGTAAAAGAAAGTCTTAAGATATTTTAGAATCAAGGCTGTATGGATTGAGGCGATGCATTCCAAACTAGGGATGCAAACAATTAATCGATTTATGATTAATTGTCGACTAATGTTTTATTAGCTTAAAGTTTCTTCCATTCGATTAATTGAAAACGTCTGTTTAAACCTTATTTCAGTGTAGTTTTGACTTCATCCAGCAGAGGGCGGTGCTGCTCTATGACCCTGTTGAACTGAGCAGCAGAAAGCCCATAATGTGGGCGGGACCACAAATACGCGAGTCTCATTTAGTTGTATTTGCGACACAACAATAATAATGGACTATACCAAACCCGAAGGAAAAGTACTGAAGTCTGTACCGAACCATCCAGCAGTATGATGCTYAAAACAAGAGAGAAGRACRACAGAACGGTAAGCTAACTGTGGCTAACGTTAGCTTCCTCTCGTTGAGTTTAACTCCGTGTGAAAAAACAAAACAAAAACGTTACAGTCGCTAAAAATATGAAGCTAATCTAATCAGTGTGACATAACCCGGCCAGTGAACCAATCTAATAAACAGTAACTGATGTCAGATCATGACACGTCCAGCAGCCCAGCGAAGACGGAGTGTAAACAAACAAACAAACAAACAAACAAACTATTGCCAGAACTCATTTATATCTCATGTCTTTCAGAGATATTTTATGTTCTTAGTTTGTTTTTGAGTTAATCTTAAAATATTACCCTGTGTTTAAATACGTTTTTCATCTTCAGGATGGATTAAGTGTTTTACTTATTTTATTTTATTTTTTTCAACTAGCATCTTAACAGATTCCTGTTTTGTTATAATTTATAAATATGTCCAAGTTTAATAATGTGAGAGAAATCCACATTTTTCTGTTCAGTCAGTGTTTACTCACACAGCTGGCACAATGAATTGTTAAAATACTGTACTTTTTATTTAGTGTGTACAAAATTAGCCCTTCATGTTATAGAAAGACTCTTGATTCAAGACAAATGTCAGGTTTTTTTAGGAAAATTGCCGCCTATCAATTAATCGTTAGTCGATCGATAAGATCAATCAACTTTAGATTAATCCATTAATTGATCACTTGCATCCCTATTCCAAACATTTTTATTAAAACATTTGTAATGTTGGTTAGCTAATTATGCTAAAGGTCACTGTCGTCAACATCCCACAATCTGTGCCTCTGGTGGGTTTAAGGCTTCTTCTGCCAGTTCGTTCATTTCATATTAATACTGTAACTTGCAGGATTGTATTCAGTTGCAGAGTATTTTAGATCAAGGGTTCTCAAACTGGGGTCCCAGGACCCCCCAGGGGTCCACGAGCTGTGTCTCAAAAGAGCTGGGTCCTCAAAAATTTTCAATAAATTGTTAATTTGGTTTTTTTATTTTACAAAATAAATATGGGTAATAATGCACTAGTAAAACAAACATACTACACCAGACAACAAATAATATTACCATGGCGTTCAGGGGTTAAAATAACAGTAAATTATTTTTGCATTACCAGCATGGGGTTTATGAGGGGGGTCCCTGGAATTTTTTCACCCTTGTAAGGGGTCCCCAGACAGAAAACCTTTGAGAAGCCCTGTTTTAGATAGTTGATAGGTACTCTTCAGGCWGGGCATGCTGTGTCATGGTTATAAAACAAACTGGAGTGAGACTAAGTGATGAAGACTGCTCTGAAATTTGGTGCTGGAAAAGTTTGAAAATTTACCTTGAAAGTGCTTTAATTTTACTGTGGGAAAGTGTTCTTAGGTCCAACAGGACTACTTAAATAAGCCCCTCCTGATGGCAGTTCTGTCCCCTCAGACAGGCCCAGTTCCTGCACCGCCAGGCTCTCAGTGAGCAGCTGAAGGACACAGAGGACCCGGCTCTGGTTCTCCACCTGACCAGTGTCCTGCTGTTCCAGACCAGCACCCTCTGCATGCTGCACGCCCCGGGGCGCTGCGTCCCACAGATCATCGGCAGTCTGACGGGTCGAATCCCTGCGGTACGCCTCACACACCACCTCACCACAGTGTCGCAGCACACAGCAGCTGCAGGGACTCAGAGGTTTAACACTCTCAGGTGTTTCTGCAGGAGCAGCAGCAGCTGCTGGCGGCCTACCAGAGCCTCGTGGTGAAGCAGCTGCTCAGCAGGAAGCAGCAGGACGAGGAAGAGGAGGAGGGGGATGAAGAGGCCAGGAGCGTGCGAACTCAGCTCATGGCCCTGACCCCCCAGGTGAAGGAGCTGGTGCTGGCCCAGAGGAAGACGTCTGTCTCTGAAGACTGAGTTTCAAAATAAAAGAAGAATTGAACCACTGAGCTGCAGTTGTGTTTCTGGTTTCACATGTGGCTCAGCTGTCAGCTGCAGGGAGTGTAGAGCAGGGCTGTTCAACTAAACTGCTCCAGGGGTCACAGTTACTGCGGGTCAACATCTGAGGGGCCAAACWTCCAGCARCTAAAGTCACTATGTAAACTAGACATGGGTTTTTACRATGTAAAAACAAGTGTGCATTGCCACGTAGCATGTTATTGCAGCATGGCTTTGCCTGCAGCATTGGACTTGCAGAATGAACTTTGACCAAGTTCAAACGTGTTTTCTAAACCAGCTTGTGCCTGTCACGTCAGGTGTTTGTAATTAAGGTAATTGAGTGACACTATGAAGTTTGAAGAGATTTTTTGTTAAAGTTGCAG